TAGGCCTGAGATCAAAGCCTCTCTGAGCTAAATCCAGTCTCATATAGATTTTACTACTAAACATATGAGCCAGGTGCATGTTTTTTATTTCAATAATACACTTACTGTGTAAGTGTATTACACAGTGTATTACCTTATTCATCTGTGAAATGTTTTTTTATGTCTTCACTTAATATTTATATTTAAAAAATAACTTGGAAGTGATTTCAAAGTCAAAGTTATCCATTGGAGGGGAAACTATAGACCAGCTACTTCATAGATTCCTTTGACTATACTAAGGACTTCTTTCAGTTGTCTACACATAGCCACATAGTGCTGTATCATATCCTCCAGTGCATTCCATCTGGCTTCCCCTCAAGAGGGTCATGGTCATCTAATTCACAAATGGGCCACTATATTTAGATGCTTTAATCTCAAACAGAATCTCTTCCTAGCTGAGAGAAGAGCATTTTACAGCTTAATGAGATAAGGGATTGTAGACAGCACCCTGTTTTAGTGGAGGTAGCTCCTGATCTTCTGAAGTGACATTTGGCAGATACTGCTCAGAAGAAATGGGGCAGCCTCTAGCGTAGTGGAGGAAGTGCTAAAACTTTACAGGCAGAGTTACAAGAGGCATTCAGAAGCAAAAGTGTGAATCACCGAATGATGCACGAATAAGGTTATAAAAGCTATGTAAGAAAGAGGTGCTCTCCAATGACATTAGAAGATCCTGACAGCTTGCCTCAGAAAAGCTTTGACAGCAGACTGAGTAAATGGAGGAAGAGAAAGACTTCTAGAATTTGATTTCCACAGAGAGAGATGCAAGCTTTCCTCATCTATGGCTTTGCAAATATTTGTAGTAATGTTGTTGTTTTCAGTGCTGTAGATATTTGCACTTACTATCACTTATCTTGATTTTAAAAGTGATTTTGGTGTGACAGACATCACACAACATCAAAGCATGCTTTACACAAGTTAGTAGTGAGTGCTTCCTCATACCCTCCAGCTTTCTTCCTGTTGAGCATGGGCATTTGTTCATAGGAAAGGAGCCATCTGTCCTGCTTCAGAGGGCTTTGGCTGACCCAGAATGCAACTGTCAGGATGTCGTAACCAGTCTTGTCTGATTATAATCTTTCACAATGCGTAACATAACAGTAGAAGTTCAGTTAACCAAGAACAATCAAAACAATGCCAGAAGTTTCTGCCAGAAACCTTGTGGATTAGAATTAAGATAGCTGTGATTTCTCTCTGCTATACTTGTATTTCTTGGGGAGTCTGTGACTTTTCTTGAACACATAGATTAGGCCTTCTGAGCTGGGAAGAAATATTTTATGTTTTAACCTAAAAACAGGTGGGAGAGACAAAGGAAATTCTGTGGAACTTCCTTGACGTTTTTAGTCAGCTATTATTGTCTCAATACATGCCCTTGTCATCAGCAAGGCAAACTTTAATTCTCTGTTCTCTTTGGGGTTGAGGCGGGTTGCTTTCTCTGAATCTTTGGGTGATACAGAGAACATCAAAATGAAGGGTGTTCAGGTGTCCAACTTCTGTATTGCCTTTGTATTAAAAAATTCAGTGAAAAGTATTTTTTGTACTAGATGAGACAAACTGTTCATGCAGCACATGGGCTGACCTCTGAATTCTATTGCCTGTGAATGAACTTGTACTTTAAATATACAGAGGAAGGAAATTACCTTTATAAACAATGGCAGAAGGAAGTAGTACTTTCTGGTTTAAATAAGTTTGGGATTTTTTTTTCTAATCTGCATTGGTATTATACAGCACACAAGGTAAATATATATTCTGAACTACTAGGTACTCTCTCCGATAAGTGCCATTCTGGGACCTTGATTTCAGTGTGTGATTCTGTTTGTGATATGCAAATCTTTACAGTTGCAGCCAGGAAACTCGGAGTTCTGTGGCTGCCAGAGACCTCAAGAGACCTCTTAGTGAGATTCCATCTCTTAGGCATCATGCCTAGAGTATCTCAGCATGTTTGAATTGCTGTTAAACATCTAATGAAGGAATTAAATAACGTTTTCAAGTAGCTTGATACTGTTTTGAACATCCTTACAGCCAGAAAGCTTTCTGTATACTCAAGCTGAATCTTCTTCATGCCTTCCCTGCAGTTGCCACAGGAAAATAAGTGGTCATTTCATTTTTTTTGATCTTTCATGTTTTGGTAAACTATTTTCCTATTTCATTTTAGCCTTTTCTTTTGTGGACTGGTCAAACCCACCCCTTTCCTCCCATGTTTCCTGTTGGTCATATTTTAGAAGCCCCTAATCCATTCTGGTTGCTTTCTCTAAACTACTATCTGTTTGTCTACTCCTTCTAAAAGATTTTTGGTCAAAGTTTCCATTGTTGACTGCTTTTCTATCTGCCTTTATTTTAAATCAGAACCTGTCCTTTCATTTTTCTGTATGACCTATCAATTCTCTGTGTTGGATTTTCATTTACTAAGGTAAAGGTTATGTAGTTGGAGGAAAAAGTCTTGGTACATATTTTTTTATAGGTTGCCCGAAACCACCCAATCTTTGTTTTCCCGTCATTTTTACTTTCTTGAAACCTTGTAGATAGTCTGAACTTGAAACAGAAATTGTAAAATTCTGCAAAAGTTATTCCTTTAAAATGCTTGTCTAAAGCTGAAAGCAATTCTGGGTACTTCCTCCAGCATTTGGGATATCTAAATTTTCTACACTCCTCTTAAAGTTATAAACCAGCCTTGACCACGAGGAAAACCAATATGCCATGAAAGGTGTGTCTAAGGAAAAAAAAAAAAGTCCTTTCATGTTGTTATTATCAAGGCTGAATTTAGTTGCATTGTCTCTAACAGGTTTGGATACTATGTAGACAGACATCCCATGCTGATGTTTGCCAGTGATGCTGAACTCGGAGGAGCTGTGGACTCCATCTCTCTCAGTAGACCTTACAGACTAACCTGGATAGACAGGCAGCTGGGCAGTCACTAACTGTATAAAATTGTTAAATTTTATAGCAAGTGTCAGATTGTGCAACTGGGATGGGCTAGTCCTACTTATACGTACAGACTGGGGGATGAGAAGCTAGAGAGCAGCCCTATGCAAAGATATCTGGAGTTTTGGGTTGACAGCAAGTTAAATATGAGTCAACAGTGTTCCCAACAGTAGCATCCTAAAGGGCCAACCATGTCCTGGGGTGCATGCAGCACAGCATAGCTAGCTGGTTGAGAGAGGTGATTGTCCCACTCCCTACTGCTCTGGTGCAGCCCCGCCTCGGGTCCTGTGTGCAGTTTTGGGTGCCTCAGTGTAAGAAGGACATCAGACTATTGGAGTGTGTCCAGAGGAGGGTGACCAAGATAGTGGGAGATCTTGAGGACAAGATGTGCAAGCAGTGGCTGAGGTCACTTGGTTTGCTCAGCCTGGAAAGAAGGCTGAGGGGTCACCTCATCACAGCCTACAACCTTCTCACCGAGGGTGGAGGAGAGGTGGACCAGGGCAGCTAATCCCTCCCTGGTGACCAGTGATAGGACACAAGGAAGTGGAATGAAGCTGTCAGGGGAAGTTCAGATTGGACATTAGGAGTAGGTTCTTCACGGAGAGGGTGGTTGATCCCTGGAACAGGTTCCCCAGGGAAGTGGTCGCAGCACCAAGCCTGTTAGAGTTCAAGGAGTGTCTGGACAATGCTCTTAGTCTTATGGTTTAGTTTTAGGTAGTCCTGCAAGGAGCAAGGAGTTGGACTTGATGAATCTTATGGGCCTCTTCCAACCTGAGATAACCTATGATCCTATGATTCTGTGACCCAAGCTTTCGGTTATGAAATTGAGTTAACTTTCTGTTTTTACCTAGCAATTAGCTGTATAGCCTCAGATGCAGCTTATGGAGTTTTACGCCTTTGTGGTTAATTCAAAATCAGTTATTTCTGTGCATTAAGTACTGGGAATCTTTTTCTTCCCTTAAATTAGATGCATCATAAAATAAGGAAGTTGATGATTTTCACTGCTTTCTGTTTCTGTGTGCAAACCCATCTAGTGTGATGAACAAGAGATTGCACATTATGCCCTTGAGAATAACCAGATTATTCCCTTTGTAGAAGACTCATGATTTTGCTCTGTGGTCAGCAGAATGGACTAGAAAAGCAGAAGGATCCCTGTGACTTTTAAGTCTCAGAGAGGAGGCTCATATTGCACTGAAGTGTGAGGCAGATAAATGTTGGTTTATAAATGCATCTCTTGCAACCTCTGATTTACTTATGCTGCTTCCAAACAATTAGCAAAAAGCACAGTTTCTGTACTGAACTCCGTCATTCAAGTCTGCAGCTTTTGATTTGCATTCTAAAACTCAGATCTACTTTTTCCATTTTTTTCCTGTAAAATTTAGTGTCAGTGCCATGGTTTTGGGGGCTAAAGGGCATGAAAAAAAAAAAAAAGAATATTGGTATGACATGAGAGCCTGGTTATTGACTCTTCTCACTGAAAGCTGAGTCAAACTGAGAAAAGAGCTGGAGCATTCTTTTCAAGTAAATTTATTTGACTCCATGAGGGAAAATTCTTACTTTATTTTAGATTACATTAGGTCATTCTAAGAAAAACATCACTGAGCTTTATTCTTTTTTGGTATTTTGCCTCATCAACAAAACTGAAGTTACTAAGTCTTCTACAGGTTCCTAAGGCTGCTATTGTAGAGGCCCAGCCTATATGAAGGCCATATAACTGAAATACACTGAAAACCTAATGTCAGTATCAAGAGGCAATTTGCATAGATTTCAGATCTGTTTCTGATTACTTTGTAAGTCCATGTGCTGAATTTGCAGCCTTCAACAGGAATAGAAGAAAAATGACTAAGCGTGATTTCTAGATGGTTGAGCAAGAAGGAAATGGTCTGTAGAGCTGTAATCTTCAGGTAGCTGCATATGGGTTTGCAACACTAGAGGTTTATTTCTGCGAAATAGTGATGCTGGGGAAAACTGTCCCCAAATGGTTAAGGCCTGTTTCCTTTGATTTAATTGCATTTTTTCTTTTTTCTTTTTTTTTTTCTCCCCAGGTAGCAGCTGCTGGAGGACATCTGAAATTTACAGTCTCCTATGACTTCACAGAGGAAGAAGAGGCATTTCAATTGATGGTTCAATCAGATGTCATCATAGAGGTAAAGTGATTGTATCTTCAGCCACAAAAAAAAAAAAAGAAAATTGCCTGCTTCTTCAGATGTTCAGCATGAAGCCTGGTGGTTGAGGACACAGAACAGCAGGGTGCACCACGTACTTTCAGCTAATTTATAGTGTCAGAAAATGGACACGCTTTAGAGAACTAAACTTCAGTATCTAAGGAGCCTCTGGCAATATTGCAGTAACTTACAGAACTATATTCTTCCTGTGCATCGGGAGGAATGGAGAAATAAAATAATTGATTGTTTGAGGTAACACTTTCACGTTCTTTCAGCAGACCTGTTCTTGGGCAGCTCAGCATTGTATGAATTTGCTTTTGTGTATGCAAAGCCATGACACTAGGTGTTAGCTGAATAACTTGAACTTTCTTTTCCACTGACTTTCAACTTTATAAGGCAAACCTATTTCAGGGTTTTGAAAGGTGAATGTTATTCCTGAAATTTATTATTCTTGTAAAAATATACTATTCAATAAATTCGGTACCCGAACTGGGTACAGAGCTTTTTCTCCTGACTTTTTTCATATTTAAATGTCTTTATTTCATGTCTCTATCTAGGGAGGTGGCTTGAGAATCAGCTCTCCAAAAGAGGGGATTCACCTGCAGCCTTCTGAAGAGCACACTGAAGAAATTGCGCTGAAACCAGAATCTTTCTCCGTGCATGGCACTGATGTTCCAGTCAGCAGGAGGGAATTCATGACTATCCTTGCAAATGTAAAGAGGATCCTCATAAGAGCCACCTACAGCAATGGGATGAATGCCATCTACAGGTGAACGTTGGAAACGTGTCCGTTTGCTATAGGCAGCTTCTCAACATATTTTTCTTGTTTCTTCAGACAACTAAGCTGATACAATTTAAAACACACTAATTTATTGTCATGAAATCCATAGAATTCATCTAGAATTTCAAACAGTTAGGTTTTTTTTTTTATTTTGGGTAGGCAGACAGAGGAAAGACAACAGAAAGAAGCTGCCTTGTAAGAAAATCACAGAATCACATGGACTGTTAAGGCATGAATGACAGTTCTATAAATATGTTTATTTTGTGAACACTGTGATTCCCATGTATATGGTAAATCATGGAGTGCAATAATGACATGTTGAAGTAAGAGATGATATATTGTTTATATATTGGTTTCCCTATTTAATGAGCATACAGAGCCACGTTAACAGTGGACCAGAAAATAATATCCTAAGCCTCTAAGCTGGAAAAGTGGCTCGAGGGGAAATTTCTGTGTTTTTAATCAGTACCACACACAGAACTGGCTAATCCCAAAGCCTTTCCCTCAGTTCATGTCAGGTTGTTGCCTGGACTGCTTAAAACCACTGATTTCATGTGAACTCTTCTGAGTCTTCTGATAAAATGAAAGACACGTTGTATGAGACAAGACAGTTGTTCTAGCTCAGTGGCTGTGGTGTGCTTGAACCTGTAAAGCTCATCTTGCATTTAAAATTTTCATAAATGCATGAGCAAATATTCCAGGTAGACTAGAAGGCAGTCTCTCTCCTGATACTGTGTGGTTGCACTCTGTGTATATATTAATAATTAGGTGGCCCAAGTAATATTTTAAAATGTACAATGGAATTGATCACGTAGTAGTTTTTTTTTACTCAGAAGGCATGAAACCTGAAATGTTCCTTAACCTACAAATTGCTTGATTCAGCAGCATAAACCCATTTGGAATGGAGGGAGCTGATAGTACTTTAGTGATTATTTGCTGAGAGCATACATACAGTTTTTGCTACTGTGAAATTTCTTAAGCAATCCAACCATCATTTGAATACTTATGTAATTAAAATGCATCCTAAATTGAAAGGCAGGTTGTGTCAACAGCATGCAGATTTCTGAGTTGAGCTTTGGCAGTCTATTTTTTCCCTGCAAAAAGAATTCAAGTTTCTTCAATCTCTTTCTCTTTCTGTGGTTTAGTATGTATTACCTTTCTGTAAATAAGTTTGTGAACCATAACTAGCTTGAGTTTGAGCCAAACTGTTTCCTAATTTGCTCATTTGGCCATCAGTCTTGCATCTCCCTGCATCCAGTGTGAAAACCTTTCATGGCCCATCACCTTCCTGGTGTTAGAGGAGACTCAAACCACCAGGCCAGAGCTCATCTCTTACTATGAGCAGACCATGAGAAGCTGTTAAGCCACAGCTTACCTCTGAGACTAGTGGGAGCTCAGGGAGTACTCTTCTTCCATTCTGTTGTCATTCAAATAAAATGAAAAAAAAACCCATTAGTCAGAGTTTTCCAAACTAAAGGAGTGGAGGACTGATTTTGGGGTGAGTCTGTACTTTCATGCCTGTGGAAGACCTGTCAGTGGCACGTTTGGGAGATTATGCATTGCTGCCTGCATCCCAGATTACTGCGTATTATTTGGCCATGTGTGATGCCTCGCTGTTTTATAGTCTTGTTCATATTCAGCCTTTGGAAGATTTCAGTGGTGTGTTATAGGTAACTTTCCAGAAACATGTCTTTGAAATGTTCAAAGAGCTCCAGGACAAACACATAATTTAGGCTTTGCAGGTTAGTAGCCACCATCTTCTAGATGTAGTGACATTACAGTTAGGAAGCTTGATCCCTTAAAGGCAACAGTTTAAAAGGGGGTTAGGGGAAGGGACTGAAGTAATTTTAAAGAGTACCTTTTTCGCTATAAATGTTTCTGTATTACTGGTACATCTCTAGCTGTCCCTATGATGTCTCTTACCAGAGAAGAAAGCAATGGTTACTGTGTTAGCATAGTTACCATCAACATGTCCTGAAGTCTCTGAAAATACTTTACTTTGCTGTAAAGTAAACACATTTTATTGTGTGTTGTCAGGGTGCTCATTGCAGTTTGAAGTGACAGAAGAGAGGATATGAAATTCCAGTCATAATTAAATGAAGTAGATTTTTCACCTTTGATTTAACTGGAGGAGTTTCACCCATCAGGGTGGGATTTACTGTGTGGAGTTCAACCTTCTCAGAACAGTGCGTGCTCCCAGTCACATGATGTAGCGAGAACAGCATCTACTGTCATCCAGCCCAGTTTATGAACTGGTTTAGGCATATTGCGGATTTTCAGTGTGTGTCTCAGTACTGACTTTTTAATAGTCTCTGACTTTCATTCATGCTAAAACATACTAGGTGCAAGGCTGTGCTCATAACATTATGATCATGCAAAAACCTCTTTTTCTCTGCCCATTTAGTACCACAGGGAAAATGTCCAGACCCAATGAATAGGATATTTTGTGATATCTTGGGCTGATTAAGAACCATTCTTGATGGGTTTCAAAGGAAAACATTTGGCCAAAGAAATAGTGCAAAGCTAAGCCTTAGTACATATGTACTTTTGAACTAAGAGTTTTTGTCTTGTAAACAGGTATGTGTGGTGGACAGATGGATATTCCTCTGAGAGAGTAAAGAGGGTCTGGCAGAGAGACAGAAATATTACAGGGTTATTAGATCCTTCATGAATGACACTTTCTGCCTCAAAGCATCAGCAGAATTATGCAACATACTAATTAGAGATTACTATATTAAGCAACCTGTTCATTTAAATACTGTAAGTTTTCAAAATGGATAATGACACCACATATGTAAGGACTTCCAAGAGTGCTATTATAATCTCTGCTTGAGAAGAGGCCAGAATGGAAGCATTGTAAGATTAAGCAATTTTCTTGCAGTCATGTAGAAAGAGACTTAAAATTTCAATTAAGTTGTCTCCAGCTAGCAAGAGCTTTACCTTAAAAATTATATTTTTCACCCTTGTCTAGTTTAACCTACTGGAAACATTAGTTAATCAGTAGCGCTTTCAAGTAGTTACTAAAAAATATTCATGCGGTAATGGTGAGTTTGACTCTGTGTTTTTGAGAACTTTTTTTGGGTCATTTTAAGCTTAGAATGTTGATATTGCTCTATGGCGTAATTAGGAAGCTTCCTCAAATGAGTGGAGTATCATTTAGATGATCAAGTAGGATAAAAAATGAGAACACAGAACTGCAGCAATCAATTTGAAAGTGATCACAGCTTCTGGGTTTAAATCAAGATCCTGCTGTCACTTGACAGATCTTCCAAATTGTTGCAGTTAAGTCCATCTGTAGTAGAAGCAACAGGCCAGGAAAAGACAGCTCTCTTTTATCATTTTGCTTGATCTAATATTGTTAGCTTGTGCTTCAAAGAAACTTTAATAGCACTGTCTTCAGTTTTAATATTCAGAGTGGCCACTGATGTAGATACTCAGATGAGCACTGGAAACTATGGAGCTAAAGATAATGGTTGCTTGCAACCACATATAGAATCAGTCCTAGACACAAGGAGAAAGAGGGAAGGAAAGGCCAAGGGTTTTCTTCCCTATGCAGTATTACCTTCAGGACAAATGAGGAATGATTGGGTCGGTACTTTGTGTGCCTTATGAAGCTGATGTGATTCAGCTGCCTGGCATAGCAGACAGTAAACTATGCTGATAATGCCTGAAACGTCCCCTTCCCTTTTAATCTTGTTTGTTTTTAGAAGTCAACAGTTGCCTGCTGACAGTAACAGTCAACTTAAATATTTGGTCTCAATGTTGTATCTCAAATTGTTCATGCATCTCCAGGATCCAGTGTCCCATTACTGCCAGCATTATGTATTTTAATGAATGCAGAATGGCATCGAGGAATCAAAATTGCAACATCAAAATAGGAGGAAAAAAAAAACCACTGCAGCTTTCTTCACTGAGTAACTGTTAAGGCTAAAAACTGTTAAACACATCAAAATCCCATTTAGCAAATAGCAGAACATAATGAAAATTGGAACAATTCAGTGAATACAAATGTGGGATAATACTGGGAGGATTGTTTCTCTGTGTAAGTGCTTCTCTTTGTTCCAAGATATGTGCTGGGAGTGAACTAGCTGTAGTTCAAATGATAAATAAAACTTGGCCATTTACTAGTAATTTGTTTCTTGATTTACAGATTTTTCTCCTTAAATTGTTATATTTTTTTTACTGGTAAAGTCAACACCATTTGATATCTAAGATCCTAGAGATTGGTTCTTTTACTGTAAGGAAAACGCAAAAGCGTGATTGCAAAATAAACTTGCAGCAATGGAGCGAAGGAGACCTGTTGAAAAGTGAGAGAGGTCTTACGGAACATCTGGAGAGGAACGTGCATCCTTCTCTTAAAATAGTTTCAAGACCCTTTTACAGAACTTCTAATATCACCAAATTAGATTCAAGTCTTTAACTCCATAATCTGCAATGATAATCCCTCTGAAGTCCATTCATGTCCCTAGTGGTGGCAAAATTTCTGTTTTTCTGAAGCTTCCATCCCAATTTTTTTTTTTCACCTTACCTTTCATCTCTGTCTTGTTGAGCATAGCTGTAAAATTAAATGGGAAAATATCCTGTCTTAACTTTTCCTCCAACCACTCCAGTAACAACAAAATATTTTTCTTGGATGTTTTCTTATCCAAGGTCATCCAAATAATTTTGATGATTTTTTTTTGGCAGTCAGAAGATAAATGCCTTAGTATGGAGGAAAAGTTTGTTGTACATTTTCCAAAGAAAATTGATTATTTTTAACAAAATACATGTCATAATAGAAAGACATTTACTTGCTGAAAAAGACTTCAAAAAAAGCTTTTTAGGTAGCTCCAGTAATCAAACACAGTTAAGATTGCAAGATGAAAATATAAGTCACTGAGTCTCAATAATGCATTAATGTTCCTTCTGAATTTTCATAAGAATTAAGTCTCCAAATTCCTTTCCCAAATGGATACTGTTGAGGTAAACTACATCGGTTTTACTTATTATCTGCAAGCTTATCAAAGGATTTTTGCTGTCTCTCATTATACTTCCATGTTTTTTTTTTTAAATAACTATCATGTTCAGTGTTGGGCTAAAGAATGGCTGTTTAGCCGATGTTTAGCATGTATGTTTTAATGGAGTTGGAGAACAATCTCCAACTCTGTCTTCTCTGTCATTGGGGAAACCAAGGTATGTGGTAGAAGATTTCATATATATACCTTTTTAATTCATACATATAATACTTAGATCCTCCTGTACAAAGCTGAAATCTTTTTCAGAGGTCACATCTCCAGTATAAAATTACCCTATAACCAAAGCTTAGCAATGTAATATTTTAGAAGGCTGGAGTAGTGGTTCATAAATTTTGACGACACTGCTTAGTATCAAATTTGCTATAAATACAGCTGCAGTGTAAGCTGGCACATGTGGCTTGCAGGCCAGGAATAGCCTTCCATCTACTGATACAGTGGTGTGAGACATTTTAAATCTATTTTTATTAATGTTTGTCTGACCATAGTGTCCCTCACATGATGGACAAAAATAGTAACAAGCCTACAGACATATAGTTTAGGAAGAAGTAGTTTTGAATATGAAAACCTCCTTATATTTATACAAGAGAACATAAACAAGCCACCTAATGTCACTTTATACTGTTTGTTGTATCCAGCTGCACATGTATTTCCATGTAGTTCGCTATTTTAATGGCTTCATTTCTGTTTCATCCAGACTAAGAAGCGTTAGCATTGAGGTTGCTGACCACACTTCAGCTGGGAGCAAGGTGGCGTCTGCGGTGGAGTTGTGTGACTGTCCCCCAGGGTATGATGGCACCTCGTGTGAGGTGAGTCTGGATTGATTGTACTAACACTGTAAGCAACCGGTGGCCCTGTGTTGGTAGAAAATAGTGAGAGCGCTGTCCATTCCTGTTAGGAATTTGGTATAGCTTGTCTAGTTACCTCTATTTCTAGGTGGTGGTTCATTAGATTTGATAATATTTGAGATCTGAAGTTTTACACTGCTGTCGTGATTTCTGAGTTAGGG